CTTCCAGATACGCCTCCTGTGCTAAGGGTTTTTTCTCATATTTCTCCCCTTGTGGATCGCTGCTCCTGATACCTGATCTGCGGTGTCCGAGGGGCGTAATGTCCACTTGCTCACGTGGTTCCCACGTAATTCATCTTGGGATTCCTGGCTTTGTTTGAGTGTATCCTTCCTCGTAGTGTATACTACTTATCTATTAAAATCTACTGTTCCCTTCCTTTGTGATTTCCCCGCTGAGTTCCTGGGGTGTCAATGGTCATTTGCGTACTCCAGGCATAGTTTCTTACTTCCCTAGACTACTTCCTTGCTGTCTTCCCATATCTTCTCTCCTTTGCGCGTGACACTTCTTCCCTGTAGGTCAGTCCGGCGTCCTTCTTCGGGAAAACTTGTTGTCCGTCCGTTTACTTAGCCGGGAACCCTATCTAGCCTGCTTTCTCTTTGGACTCCATGGTCTGGACTTGTTCTGGTTCCGCTCCTTCCTTCTGTTCCCCGTCTACGTTACCTGCTTCGTGATTAGCTCCTCGCCTAGGCCTTCTACTTTCCTTCGCCAGTGATGGTTAAATTCCTGATTTGCCCCCCTGCGGCTTACCTCCTCGTCTTTTTTAAGTTATTCCTGTTCAGTCAGGGATGCCCCCCCCCACTCCTCCGGCAAGACTTTCCATCTGGCTCTTCCCTTCATAACTTATTCCCTCCCGTCTGGGGGGGAGTGCATGAATGCTCTCTTGTTGTATTTACTGCTTTTTCTTGTCACTGGTATTTTTCAAGGCACTGCCCTTTCCATAATCTGTCCATACTTGCTCCCGTCCATTCTTCTACCCTTAGAGCGCCCGGATTCCTGTACCTGCCCAGATCATTCTCCTGGGGCTGCTTAACTCTTGACTGTGGCGCTTATTTTTCTTTGTTCCTTGGTTATCCTTATTCATCATATCCTTCAAGGAGTTCGATTTCAACCTTCGTTTCTTCATAGGTACTTTTTCTTAAATAACTTCGCCCCCTTTCTTGGCTTTGGGGGGTTTCCGGTTTCCTCCTTTACTTGTACTCGTATCTTATACGCTATGTGATTCCAGGGTATTCTTACTGTCCTTTTTTAACCACCCTTGGTCAGATCCTCCTCTGTACTTCTCGACTCAGCGGTTTCCTGCTGTTCTTCCCTGCTAACTTATTATTCTTCATTCTTCCGGCTCCTGTATCCTTAGAGATCTCGTGGTTTCCTGCCCTAGCTGTTCACGCCTGCCGTCTTCCTGTGCAGCCTCGTTTTGATATGCCTTTTATTAAGGCGTGGCGTCCTGTATTATGCTTACTATTTATTCGTCTTCTCACTACCTCCCTGGCTCCTATTCGCCCCTTTCGCGCCCCTGTTCCCACTTGTTAACCCGTCTCACTTGTTACTGTGTGTTCCCTTTGATTTGGTATTCCTATTGTGATGGGGCTCCCTGTCCACGTTTAGCCGCTATCTTATATTTTTGCTCCTTTTCTTCTTACTCGAGTGAATTACTGTTTCTGCCGTTCTGCGTCTCCTGTCCCTATCTACATATAGTTTTATATCACTTCCTCAGGGTCATTGCAGTCTCTCTTAAGGTTGGCTTTATCAGTTGGTGGGTTAATTTCGGTAGATATTTTTCCGTAGGATTCTTATCCTCCATAGGTACTTCTTATATTCCTTACGGATTTGTCGTTTCTTGTTTGTTTTCAATATACTCACTCCTATTCATGACACACTTGCCCCTGTTTCCTCTCTCTTACTCCCTCTTGTTATATATACTACTATCTCCTTTACGGTATATTTATCTGTACCTGCCCGGGTTCTAGATTTGGTTTTCATGCTTTTAATAATATATAATTTTAACTAGGAGAGTTTTTATCCCTCGTTTTGGTGTTTTGTATTTCGTGATACTTCCATTTTTTCCCACTCCTGCTTTGGTACGATTAATTCTTCCCCTTCCACTTCAGCTGCCTGGATCTTCTGCCATATCAACTTGGCTTTCCCCTCATTGGCAGCGTTAGGGATAAGGTAGTGTTGTATATTCCTGATATCTTTTATTGCTCTAGAGGAATACTTTTCGCTATAATTCGGATTCTTTTGGTTATTCTTATGTTCTATTGTTCCCCCCTTCTTGGCGCCTCTTGGTTCCGTGTTCTTCTGCTTTGTCTTTCTATTAACTACTGTATAGTCATTCTCCTAAAGCTCCTGCTTTGATTCCCAGGTTTATACGGCTCCCTTCTTTATAGGTCCCATTACTTGTGCTTGGGAGCCTAGCCCTCCTCCTTCCTGCCTGCCCCGGTATCGGGCGTTACTGGTGCTGTCCTGTTTCTTCACGTCCTTTTCTGCTTCACATTCTTGCCCCCCCCTTAATGGCCCTTATTTCTTCATCTATCTCCTTAGGCCGCAATTGCCATATTTTCCTTCGCTCCTCCTCTTTTCTTCCGTCGTTCCATGTTTTGCGTCCTTTGTTCTCATAATATACATTAGCTGTTATCAGTAAATTCTTAACCACTACTTTAAGCCTCCTTCCTACTTCATCTTCTCCCTTTTTCTTCGTTTTCATGAGGTCACGATAAGTCGGCCTATATTATCTCTCATGATATTCCTTATAGCAAAGAAAATAGCATCTAAGCCACAATATCCCGTATCCAGTTATTCAAACAGTTATTCTTCCGCGATCTGGGGGTTAAATATATATTATGATAAAATACGGAAAGATAAGGAGCTGGTTGTCCATTCAATAGATCTCCACAATAACTTACCAATATTTCTGGACATCTCTCTTAATTAGTCAGGTGCAATAACACACAATACCTTTATAAAACTATTAGACTCATTATTAAGGGAGAGATGTCTTGGATTATGCCTTAGAGATCCATATATCATTACACCTAAGACTGATATAAAGACCATTTCACTGCCAAAATGATTGTGTAGTTATTGACTTTCTCTTATTTCTCAGAGGAACTTCATAACTCTACGGGTCTATTAGACTTGTTCATAGGATATGTTCTTATTCTATTAAAGGAATTTAGGCATCGTATACTTTTATACTTGGTTAAACATAAAAGGGGTTATGAA